AGATTCAGGTTCACTCCACTAGATCTCTATTCTGATTGGTGCATCATGTCTAGATTGGAAGCTGTACTGCTTTCCTCTATTTGCCTGACTGTGAGCTTGTGCCCATATGCCAAGAGGAAGGACGTAATATTCAAGGCAGCCTAGCTCACAGGGATACAACCTATGTGAGCTTGGCAGAGACACTGAATTTTTTACCCTGTTTTGGGGCCCCACTTACACCTGGAATGTGAGTCTATGAGAAGACTGCTTGTTTTACGGAGCAAGTAGTCCAAAGCTAAGCTTTCTTTTCCCTATACATAAAGCAGATTCCTGAGCAGAAGATTAATGACCTATGCAGAGTGATTGTGGGAGGGAAGAATTGAATTTATAGTGGGAAGAATTCTCTGGAGGCTCAGAGAAATCCCCAAAACAGTGTGTTCTCTACCTCTTCTAGGAAAAACATGCTCTGGACTCAATTTCTTCATGATAATAGAGTATGATTTTCTTGCTTTTGTGAGTTCATTCCCTTAGCATTTGTTAACATTTTGAAGTTAATCCACTGCTACAGTTTTCTTAGTATCATGGCTATTTACAAAGTCCTAGTTCAGCTAATGCTGCAAGGAATGAAGGGTGGTCTTTGAGTGAGGATATCATGTATCATTATGTGTAACCCAGTATCTGTCCAATTGCTATCAATTTGCTATAGGACTCTGGGCAACTCAGTAAGTCTCTCCAAGATTGATTGCTTAGTGCACTAAGCAAGTGGATGTGAATGCACTAACACCAAACTTCTCTGTTTACAGAATGACAGCAATAACTGTGTTACCTAAGGATTTATGTTCTTCTGCCCTAAAATATCACCTAGTCCTGCAACAATTATCATTCATTGGTGTTCAGTTCAGTCTGAGTAGTTTGAAGCAATTTAAGCTGTTACAATATTAGGTAACATCAGCTGTCACAAAATTCAATATTTTACCATAGCATTTGGCCTGGCAATGCAGCTGAATTCCTAATTCCAAGAGAGCAAAAATTTACCTGGTTAAATAAATGATATGAGTGGGTACCCTATATCATTTTACATTTGGCATAGAAAACAAAAGACAAAATAAATCAGTATAAGAAGTCAGAATTAAACATAAGTTGATGTTTACATACAGTTGTTCTGTTTTAGCTAAACTGTTTAAACATCATGCTTCTTTAAAGTAATGTGGTTCATAATGCCTTCATAATGTAAAATGTCCTTTTGTGCTAGAAGCAGAAAGTGACATTGCCTTTATAGAAGATACCTTCTATTGGCACTACTTTGGAAAACTTCTGTTTTTATTTGCTTGAATTTCTGCAGAGTAATATTAGTTGTTTTTTTTTTTTTTTGTTTTTTGTTTGTTTGTTTGTTTTTTCAACATACTCTATAAGTATAATAAGATGACAGCAAAATTAGGATACAGTGAACATACAAGAAATTCTGGAATTATCCTGTTTTAAGGAACATTTAAATATAATTCAAAGTGTCAAAGAAATAAACACAAATGAACGCAATCTGTCAGTGTTCCCAGGTTAAATGTCCTAAAATAAAAGATTATTAATTTGTGATTCTATTTTTCAAGCAGAAAAGATGAGTTCAGCACTTTCTATTTGTGATTGCTCTAGAAAATACTAGTGTTGCACACTGGCTGCCGTGTATGTAAAATACATTTCTACCTGTATCTAGTGAACAAAGAAAATAGAGTATTTATATCAGAGGCTGCTTCTTTTCCAAAGCTGTAGGGGCTGTTCTCAGCTTTGGAAAGTTTCAGTTGAATAATATACACTCATATGGTATCGTACTGAATTGGATCATTTAGAAACATAACATATTATTAAAAAGTAGGTTAGATAATTATTATCCAGCATGAAATAAGGCTAGTTAGCTGAAGATCAGTTAGCTGGAGAGCAGTGTGAAAAAAACAAGACTGAATCTTGTCCACAATTTGTCAAGAATCCCTATGGTAAGAAGACTGAAATTTTAAAGGGAAATTAGAGACAGATCTAGCACTGGGAAAATTTATCACTGTATTTAAGATTTATAAAAGTACTTTATCAAGACTCAAAAACTTGGGATTGTAGTTTGATAATTTCCTATCCTGCTTCCCAATGTTTCAAACTAAAATTACGTACTTTGTAGCACTAATTTTAACCTTCTACACCACTAATGTTCACATCCAGACCATCTTTAAAAGATACACTAACTAGAGCAAGCAGAAGGATATAGACATTTCCTTTTCCTACATATGCTGGAATGGACTTGCTCATAAATGTACAAAACAGGTAGATGTCTTTTTGCATAGTTTTGTTTTTTTTTCACAACAGTAATTTTGTAATACATTTTGATGAATGAGAAAAGGTAGCAGATTTCCAGGCACTTACTGTCCAACACACACATTTTTCTTCTGAGTTATAAAGCTGGAGGATTGAGAGGGACTTATAAAAATCAAATTGTCACAACAAGGTGTCTAAAAAGGTCAAATGAAATGTCTGGATGTGCTGGCCAATCATCTAAATCACCCACCAAAGAGTTCACAACAAGAAAATACTCTATTACTGTATTGCCACAGTCAATTGCTCACAATTTTTATGAAAAATTAGGCTTTTAAACCATTTAGTCATCTGTGCTGTGGTATAAGAAAAATGAAGTAACTGCAATTGCAATTAAAAACAAAAGCATACATTTATTCTGCTGGATATACCTTAAATTTTAGAAATACTTTTCTTCTTATTTTAAAGAGAATTAAGATACAATTAATATCATGATGGCATGCCAAGCGTATTAAAAATTGGTTTAGACATGTATCTATTGCATGTGTTTGGCATCTATCAAGTGTCTATGAAGAAAGAGGGAATACAGAAAAAATAAAAACAAGCAAGTTTGTAAACATGCCTGAAATGATTGTGGTTGAATTACAGCATTAGCTTGCAAGTTGATTTCTCATATAATTAAAAAGTCCATGCACTTTGGCCTAAATCTGAACTATAATTTAACTTTAGCTGCTGCTTTATAACAGGCGCTTTCAAAAGTTCCAGGCAGAGGTGAGACGCAGAATTTCTATAGAATCCTCTTTTGCCCAACCAGATATTGACAGCTACTATCCAAGGACACATCAAGCTGTAGGCCATCATTGATCCAACAAAGCTTTGGTTTTCCATTATACAAGACTCCCTTTCATTAGAGTTTTAAAGTCTGAGAAAGCAAAAACCCTGTATTTTTGACCTGAAAGAATTTACTCTTTATGAAAAGCTGACAAATCACAGAGAACTAAAAAACATGCTTACAGCTGCAGAGGTTTTATCTGAGCCTAATTTAGGGGTCACTGGAAAATTCAATACATAATTGAAGAATCATCGAAAAGAACTCCCCAGATTGAAATCTACGTTTACTGCGTGAATGAAAATCCTGGTGTGCTGCTTTGCTTCTTTGTTGTTTGAAGTCAATTTCTTATTATTATTATTATTATTTCAACAATGAAAGAAACAGCTTAATGGAAGTGAATAATCACATCAGTTGTTGGCTTGTCCTAAAATGCAGCCGCTTTCTGCAAGTAAACAGACTTTCTGTATTTAAGAAGAGTGATATCACAGAGCCGAGAAAATCACTTCGCCAAACAGGCCATAGACACTCCTCACTTTAGTTCACTAGTTCATAGACACTCATCATTTAGTTCACTTCCAATGGGGTTTTTCTTTTCAGAAATTGGACAGAGTAGACAAGTGACTTCTTGCAGGCAGAGAGCATGGGTCTATATCACCTAGGAAGACAGCTTATGTACAGGACAGAGGGGAAATGTGTGAGTGAAGTGCTGACTGATTCACCTTTTTTATTGATCTCTAAAAGCACTGAAGTACTTTTCACAACAAAATAAAATGCCATTTGATTTCAAGCAGTCAGAAAAAGATTCAGGGGTATTCCCATAGACAAAGTGTGTAAGAGTACTGCCCTGAGTTTATAGATGACCTTATTCCAGGGCATTATTTCTGTGCCAAATGCATGTCAGACAGCCTCCCCTGCCTCAGATGAAAGGTAACCACTGCCAATAAACTTTCTCTTTATACCAGTGGAAATGCAGTTTGTTTGGATTTGCTCAGAAAATCAACTTCTGCTCTGACTGACTGTTCCAAATCCTGGAGAAATCAACCTAAATCTTCCCATTCTCCTCAGCAAGCAAATACAGACCCAGCCTACATCTAATGACCAAACCATCTTCTAACTAATAGCAAAATGTCATTGGTCACAAAGGGAGAAGGAATAAACCTCAGTTTTAAACCTCAGTCACTGAAAAAAATTGGAGCCATTGACATTTGTCAGTGCTTACTGAATGTTCATAGAGACCAAACAGTGGATGTGAGCACAGTGAGGTGTGTTTCAAGAGTGGTGACAGTGACATTGGGTCACCTCTGTTGCTGGTGCAGATTTTGACAAGAACGGTGTCCAGGCTTTCGTTCGTGGCTGGTGAAAATGCATAGCTAATGGTGGTGACTATGTTGAAAAATATTTTTTTGTAGTTGAGAATTAGCTCTATTAAACAGTGTTATTGTGCTCTTTGTATCTGTTGCTGTTTCCATAGAAATAAATAGGAAGTATTACTTTCAGAGGGACCCACAGTCACTCACAGTGATGTATGATTTAGAACTAGTATCATGTCCTGTCTTAAGACAGCTAAACAATTATGTATTATTACAATACAGAACTACAGTTAATAACTGTATTAATTCAGTTAAACTTTGTCTTTAGTACGCTTTTTTTTTTTTTTTGAAGCTAATTAAGCCTGTTGTTTTTGTAAAGTCTTACAAAGAAACTGTAAATATTTAATTTACTAAGCAGTTGCTAAACTTATTTGTCCTTCTGCTCTTCTGTAGAACTGTGAAAGGCTGAAGTCCCTTGGGAATCTCGTAGAACCTTTTCTACAGCCTGATTTTGATTAGTGAAGTTCAGCGTGGTGTAATTTGACAAGACACTGAGTCTATTTCACATACAAAAAATCATCTCTTACCTCCATTATCTTTTAGGTGCAGCGCAATCTTGGTATCATCTATAAAGGAAATCAAAGTTAGCTGTAAGAAAATGCATTTTTCTAGATCATGAGTTGTCTTAGGAATTATTTTCTTTCTGATGCTGTATATCTCCCACAATTAAAAAATGTTTTGGTACTTAATTCAATGTGAGATATCATGATGTTCTTATGCTGAGCAAGGCTTTACTTCGTATGAGTCTGATACATTGTAAAGGAGGATTCAAAATACTGTAAATAAGGCACTATAGTCCACCCCATAAAAATCACTTAAAAATAATTCCTTTTTGTTACATATTAATTTTTGAGCATTCTATCATAGTAATGTCTGCATGATCCACTACAAGACAATAAAACAATTCCTTCTAAGAGTTACAGCCTATCAATTTTAAATCCTATTTATTTAGATATTCCTTTTCTCATAAGAAAACATTAGCAGGTGTGCATATGGCAAAAATTCTGCAGTCCAAATCTTGCATTTACAGTTTCTAAACTTCTCTTGTGAACAAAACCAAATCTTACCAGTAGATTCTCAACTTATAATGTCTACAGCTTAAAACAGTCTACAGTCTTGCCACGTGCCACTTACAAATTCTGAGCAAATCTGGTATTTTCCTATATGCTAGCATACAATTCCAATAGACATCTCCCACCTGCTTTATTCTATTTTATAGATGCCATTTGAGTAATCTGGATAAATTTTCTGTTCAGCTGAATTTCCCTCAGAAGCAGGAGAGCAGGATATCTCTTCCACAGAAAGGGAAGATTTAAGCAGCAGTGAAACAAGGATGAAAACAGACACACCATCACTTACCCAACTAATTCTGCTCAGAAGCAATAGAAACAGTGAGCACTACGTGAAAATGACACTGTCAACTAACTGAAAAAGCTAAACCAGAAATATTCAGTAAGGTTGTTTATTTGGGTTACCTCCAGTTTTCACCTAAATACAATACACAAAGGAATCCAAAATTCATTAACTCTGTTCTGGATGTTTCTTCAGTAATTTTAACAGGATGTTATCCATTTCAGTATGTTTGGGAATGTGGCCTGCTAGTTAAAGGAACATGTGGTTACAAATATGTAACCACAATTCTACAGAAGTCTGTTCTCTCAGCACTCCCTCCCTCTGTCTTCAAGCTTACCTTCATAGAATCATAGAATCACAAGGTTGGAAATGACCTACAAGATCATCCAGTCCAACCGTCTCCTCATCACCATTGCCACCACTAGCACTAAACCACATCACGCAGCATGTCATCCAGATGCCTCTTGAACACTGCCAGGGACGGCAACTCCACCACCTCTCTAGGCAGGACATTCCAGTGTCTGATCACTCTCTGAGAGAGAAAGTTCTCCCTTATGTCTAAGACATAACTTTGCAAGAGGAAGATGCAATAAGGTAATATCAAATACTACTTTGACTAATTTGCCACTCTTTCCACTGCCCCCAAAAGAAAAGGACAACATGAACACAGAGGAAATATTTTTTTAGACTTTTAAATGACATATTTGCCCTATAGGCTAAATCAATCTACATAATTCACCTTCTGTGGGTAGGCTGGTTGGCAGTTGGGAGCTGGTGAATCCTCTGGTGGTTGTCAAAACTCGGAACTTTGTGGTGGTCGGTTGAAGAGTGGTTGTAGAGTACAGCGGTGCTTCAGTTGTGTCTATATCCTTATCACAGATCTTATCTTTTGACTGTTGGGAAAAAAAAAAAAAACAACACTGGGAAAGAACCAGCAATAAGATAAATAATCTTGAAAATCTTGAAAATGAACTGCTCTGTTGCAGGAGCACCCTGTGTGCCTCTTTTAGAGTAGTTCACCACTACCAGCATCAGGCATCTTTTTCTTTTATTCCTACTTCATGAAAAGAAATTAAAATGTACAGTTTCTGGTACTTCTATTTTTAATTTACAGTGTTTTTACTTTATGTCCACTTGATAAAAATATATGCAGCATGTCTTTGGCCTTGAAACCCTTCTTTCTAATGTGATAATCAAAAGCATCGTAAACATATGAGAGACCTCTGATAGGCTGAGGACTGCTCACATACCTCTTCAGGGCAGCCACTGTCTACCCAGTCTTGCCGGTGACGGTCGAATCCGCTGGAGCACCTTTAAATAATGAAATAGATATAAGTTGTCCAGATGGAAATAGGAGGAAAACAAAAACACAAAAGGACAGGAGAGGAAGAGAAGAGAATGATGGAAAGAATAAATAAATTATGTGATTTATTTTAAAATCCATATGACTTCTGTGGTGTTACTTTTATTCAAGAGGCTGTTGCTTGCAGTATGAGTTAATCATTTCATCCATTTCAGTTAATGGCATTTCAGTGAGAGATTTATTATTATAGATTTTTTTTTTTTTAATTTATATTTTTAAAATAAGAATATGTCCCTTACACAGGGTAATTACACTTATGGCTGCACTGAGCCATAAGATCTTTAAGTCTGATGTCAGCCATATGGATGTAAAGTGGGTTAATTATTTTTGTCCAGATTCCTTAGCCAGGAAAATGCAGTCCTACAAAGTATGTAATGAACCAGTCACTTCTTTTATCAGGCAAGAATAAGACACTGAGATACACATGTTAGCATGAGATCAGTGTTCATGGCTTTAGATAACAGCTCCACTGAACAGTGTTCAAGACAATTTGAGAACACTATATAGCTGTTTCCACCTCCTCACTAGCAGTAGAAAATTTGGACACATGCATATTTCTTATCCTATCAGGTGAAGTTGATAAACTGTTTTCAATGTTCTTTCTTATTTGCAATATGTGACAGAGAAATTTCAAGACAACTTGTAACGTTTTAATATAATGATTCCAGTGGCAAACAACATTTTGCAAGCTTTTATACAGTAACTTAGTTTGCTAGAGAACTGAACCATAATGCCTTGCTTTGAAAGTGATTCTCCCCAGTTAGAGTTCTTAAACTTTTTTGCATATCCAGATGATGTCATTTGGCACCCACACTCATAACTTACCTGGTTGGACAGTAAATAACCTTCTCACTTGTTTTTTAATGAGACAAAGCTGGCAAACAAGGCAACTATTACAGCTACTTGTATTTTTGTAATTTTTCATTCTCAGTAATGTGCCAAGATATGTCAAATGCTAATACACATCAGACAGAAACAGGAAACGTGGTCTACTTTGGAAAAATGGAGAACTGGAAGTGTTTCTATAGAAATAAAGGGAATATAAATAATTGTAACAAATCCCTTGGTATTACAAAATTCTCTGTATAATTATTCCGAGCAAAATCTACATCTTTGACAAAATATTATTAAGAAAACAAATTTTTTTCTCATTAGATACATTTGCATTGATTTTTGTTCCACATTTAGTAATGGTAATACAGAAGCACATCCATCCCTAACAGATGTCATTTATCACTCACTTCATAGCAACTAACTATTCCAAAAGCCTGTTGAAGTAAAGAAAACAAACTCCTCAAACAGAAAAGTATCACAGAGTAGTATAGAGATTTCCTTACTAAAGTACAGAAATACTGACATGAATAGTTTTTTCCTTTTCCTTGCTGTCTGTGTCCAGTTCTGGGCTCCCCAGTTCAAGAAAGACAAAGAACTAATGCAGATTCCAGTGGAGGGCTACAAGGACAATAAGGGGTCTGGAGCATCTCCCTTATGAGGAAAGTCTGAGACCTGGGATTGCTCAGCCTGGAGAAGACAAGACTGAGAGGAGATTGTATCAAAGGTTACAAATGTCTGAACAGCTGCTGTGAAGAGGAGGAGGCCAGGCAGGCTCTTGTCATTGCTGCCCAGTAAAAGAACAAGGGGCAACAGGCATAAACTAGAACACAGGAATTTCCATTTGGATATGAGAAAAACTTATTTTCTCTGAGGGTGACAGAGCATTGGAACAGGCTGCCCAGAGAGGCTGTGAATTCTCCTTCTCTGTAGATATTCAAAACTCACCTGGATCCTTTCCTGTTCTATTTACTGTAGGGAACTGCTTTAAGCAGAGAGTTGGACTAAATGATCTCCAGAGGTCACTTTCAAGCTCTACAATTCTGTGATTCTGTGACTAGTGAGTAAATGAGTCCTTTGCTGGGAGCTCACTCCCCATCTTTGGGGTCTTCTGCCTCCATGAATGTTTGACAGAAAAAGGAGAACCTTGCTAAGCATAAAGAAATTATGTGACAGTCCATGTACAAGTAGAGCATAATGTTTGAAAGTTTTAATTAGTAACTTCTGTCTTGAAGGAGAAATTGTATAATTTTCAGATATACTGAGCACTAATAAACTCACTGTATTTCATTCATACCACTCTGTCTAAAATCTAATGGGTTTATGGATGTTCTGAACATCTGAAAATGAAGTCCAATGTTTAGATACAATATTGAACTACTTCATAAATTCCTACAATGGCAAATACATACACATGCTCAGACCCAACAGTACTTACATCTAGTAGGGATTAATGAACCTTTATCTTAGACCTGATCTTATATCTAAATGGTGTTAAACTAAAGTTCCAAAGATTACATGAAAAAAAAACTTATCACAAATGCAATCATATAAAGTTCCGAATTTCTTCTACCAAATGGTTGAAATACTGTGGCAAATAGCATTACAGGAATTGATTTTTTAGAATGCCTCATTCTAACATGTAAATCAGATATTATTCAAATGAATCTACCTCAGAGAAAAATACATCAAATCCTGCACACTGTTTATTAAACATTTTCTATTGATACAGTAATGAGTCCCAACAGGAGCTAGATGCACTTGGTTCCAAGTAAACTTTGTCAACTTTTTTTGAGGCATATGTCAGTAAGACTTCAGATTTAGTGGCTACCATCAATGCTGTGCCACTGGGGTAGAACTCTGAAAACTGTCATTTCAATCCACCACTTACTCTATTGAATGCATTTTTAAGACTTTCATTTAGTAGCATGTCGATAATTCCCTGTTGCAATTAAAAACATTGCAGCAGATTTGATTAGCTATGCCATTTATGCCATCTGTCAACATGGCCATTTTATAGCAACTTCATTTTCAAGTGATGACCCAAATCTGCTTTTAGCAAAGCAATAACAAATATATTCTATGAAATGAGAATAGGAACATTCATGAAATGTAAAGAATTCCAGGATTTCAGTGGAAGTGGGGAGTACTGGTTCAGGGAGCAAATGAAGAATTAAAGTATTTGCATGTATATAACAATAATGATTCTGCATAACTAATGCAGCTGAGTCTAGGTAACAGAAAAAGATGTCAAAATCCTTCCAGTGGACTGTATATAGCTAGAACAGATATGGAGATGTCATCAGATCTTCCAGATGCCATGTATCTCTATTTGGCAAAGAATATTTAAATGACAACAGGTGCTCATTAAGTGCAAGAGACAAAATTCTATGCTTTTTGTCTTTTAAGGGAGTTCAATGAGAATTAATAAAAATAACAAATCATACACTCTTTACACAGAAGACTCATCAAGGTTTAACTTGTAAAAGATAGAAACATAATGGAAAATTATTGGGAAGGGACAAAGTCTGAATGGAAAAACCACGTTGAGCCAGTATCAGAACAGAAACACATTAAAATGTACATGTGCCCTTTAAGTATACTGTTCCCTTTTTATTCTCCCTGAATATCTGTAACAGTATATATACTATGGATTTCCAGGAACTCAAGAGCATTCCAGAAATTTGAAATGCTTTCTTAAATACTATGTTATTATTCACGTGAGTTAAAATATTTAGCGACTTCTAAATAAAAAGTTAATCTGGAAAACAAAGTGGAAAATTGTACAGGTAGAACTCTTTTCTGCTTTTAACCACAAAAGAAATCTCATAATGTAATGAAGAAATGATGACACTAGCTGGGCTTTTGAGTTAATTAGGAGAAGAATTAAAACATTTTAAAGTAGAACTTCTTCACAAGCTGAGGAAGCTGAGGGTACTTTCATTCTGAATGATTATGATGATGAGATAGGAAGGAAAAATTAAATGCTAGAGGTGTTGGTTCAAGTGAAAAATAAAACAATCTGCATTTTTTGGGGGGAAGAAAATGCATCAGACATTATGTTTGCTCTCAGTCTGCAGTTGTCTCTGTTTCCTGCAAAACAGATTCCATTTTGGTTCCACTATGCCCAGAATATCACTTTCTTGTCACATAATGCTGCCTGGAAAAATTATTGTACTTCCCTTACTTCATTACTTTCCAACTTCTCTTGGAACATACAAAACTTTATCAAATGAAGTGTGACTGTGAGTGAATGCAGTATGAATTCATGTAGGTTGCTCCAAAAGTAATGCCTCCTATTTACTTCTAAGGAAAATAGAACATATACAAGCAGCATGGAAACTCTATTTGATAGACCAAGTTCTCAGCTACTGAACACTATTTTTTTTGAACGTACAAAACATATATTTTCAGTATTACCTAATTCACACTGATGAGCTGATAGACACTCTTCATTTCATTGTGCAACAGCAGTGCATGGCTGTCTAGAATTTGTCTTGTTTTTCACACTGCAGACAGCACTGCTGAAATGCACCACCCGTGATCTCACTGTACTCACATCCACTCTTTGGTCTCCATAAAAGTTCAGCAAGCACCAATGAATGTCAATAGGTGCCATTTTCTTTCTGCACGGAGGAATTCAGTTCCAGTCCTTTGCCTCATATGCACTTCCATGTCAGATCCCACTTTGTCAGACTGCCCCTCTGCTGCCATCTGTCACATGGGAACAAAATGTAATGGAATACTGGCAGGAAGGTTCCACCTCTACTGCCATTCCACCAACATCTGCATCTGACATAATGGGCCAACAAAATAGGAGGCATTACATTTAGAGTACCCTTGTATGTGCTCTATACAAAATATTTGCACTTAACTAGCTCAATATACTCAATCATATACCTAAATTTAAGCATAAATATGTTATTTTTGTTTATCCTGTCATAAAATATGTTGCTTAATTAAAATTTATTTTGGAATAGGATGATTTTTTTAACAGTTTAGAGGACTTGTTCCACTCTGTTGTAACAAATTCTTCTCTTGAACAGCTAAGGCAACAAGCTTAATAAGAAGAAATATACAGCAATACAAACAGTCTGTACTATAATAACACTTCTAA